TTTCCTAAACCCTATTTTTGTTAACGCCACCGAGGGCAAAGACACTCGTGATTTTCACTTTATTAAATCTTTTAAGACTCGAGTAGACCTTAGGTGATGTCTCCTCGTATCAGCTCAATGCGTTTTTCTCTCCGTTTGCTAGGAACACAGTTCCTCACAGGAGGCTGACATGCACATTCCAAGAGACAAGTAAACACCACCCACAGCAGGAAGCTTCGCCTCCTCCGCCCCGCCGCCATCTTACAGTTCCGCCGAGGTGGCCAGGGCCGCCGACGACAAAATGGCGCCTACGGGCGTCCGGCCAAGCCCTCCCAGCTCAGCCAAGTCACTACGCCTCGCCAGTGTCCGGGGAGTCGCGGTTCAAGGAGAAACTCGCGTCAACAGTCTCGGCAGAGAAGACAAGCGGGCCGCCTCCGTGCGACCCAAGAGGGTGAAAGAGGAGGGGAGGGGGAAGGGTCGTCTCACTAGAGGTTGTATGCACCACAGGGCGCTCTCCGGGCACAGAAAAAGGGTCTTGACACCTAGCCCGCTTCTTCCTGAGTCTTACCTTCCTGGCCAGAGCGTCCAAGCCGAAGAAGACAAAAGCTTGCAACGCGACGACAGAATAAGCACAGCTGGCTACCACGAGCTCCAACAACAAAATGGAGCTGACAGCCGCAGCGTCTGGACTCTCCTCGAAAATATTGGTGACGCTGCGAGCGCGTCCCCGCCGCGGGGCGGGGCGGGGCAGCGCGGGCGCGTCACTAGAACGCAGGGATGGAAGGAGACTAACGTAGGAGCCGTGTGCGCAGGCGCCGGGTGGGGAGCTCAGCGACAGAAGGTGGAGGTGGGGGAGTTGCGGACGGCGGCTCTGTCGGCCATGTTTTCCACTGTCTAGGTCTTAGGAAGCAACGTAAGTACTGTGGAAAAGTCTCGTCCATGCTCTTTAAAAATATTTGGGAACGCTGGATACAAGAAGAAGTGAGGCAAGCATGATACAAAATATCCTGCGCCCTGAATGCAACCACTAAACAATCTTAAAAAAAAAAAAAAAAAAAAAGCACCACTTCTATCATGTAGCTCTAAATTATTAATTGTCTGGATTTCAGCATTTGCTAAGGTTCTGAGACCTATTTTAAACTAGTTAAGGCTTTGGGGCGCCTGGGTGGCTCAGTCGGTTGAGCGTCCGACTTCGGCTCAGGTCATGATCTCGTGGTCCGTGAGTTCCAGCCCCGCGTAGGGCTCTGTGCTGATAGCTCAGAGCCTGGAGCCTGTTTCGGATTCTGTGTCTCCCTCTCATTCTGACCCTCCCCCGTTCATGCTCTGTTTCTCTCTGTCTCAAAAATAAATAAACGTTAAAAAAAAAAAAATTTTAAACTAGTTAAGGCTTTAGTGGCTGGGACTCACACACACTGAAATTGGATTGGAAGAATTTTCAAGATTTTGAAAGTTTAAACGAGTGAACATTTTGGAGACAGGAAGTGGATACCCTACACAGTTAAAACATTTTGGCATTAAGCCGGTCCTTTTCAGTGTTAAGGCCAGATGAACTGTAAAAAAAGGAAATGGAAGGTCGTGAGGGAAAAGCGCCAGGAAACAACCTCTGAACAACAAAATCTTCAAACTACACTTCAGTGTACCAAAATAATTGCCAATCCTGACCTCGCACCCTTCCTCCCCTTTTGTTTCTTGAACAAAATGCTTGCTTAGTCATTCCAAACTTAGTGGAAAATGTATAAAATCAAAGTATAAAATCAAACATTAACGATTAAGCATAATTTTACTGCTCACACTTGCACAGGAGAGCAAGGTATATTGCCCAGCCCTATGCAGATGCACAATTGTGGATAAAAAGTGATGAGGAATACATATTTCCAAAGTATCTGTGGTAGTTTGCATTTCTTAAGCCCCTTTTCTTAATGGATTTGAAGATGCTTTAAAACCATTAATACTTAAATCTTTACATTGGGGCCAAGATCACCAAATACAAGGTAAATATTTCAGAGGGAGAAATCACAATAAATTGTGAAATTTGTAGCTGTTCAGGATACAGTTAGCACACTTAAATGTTAAACAAACCTAGGGAATCCTGGTCTTTGGAGGATGATAGCTAATCATAGTGGGCTAGTTATTGTGCCAAGCACTGTACATACATTTTCACTTAATCCTAACAACCTGCAAGATAGGCATCAACTATATTCTATTACAGATAAAAGTTGCAGTGCATGTGCAGAGAGCAATTTAGAATCCCTACAGTAAGATTATAAGGGTGAAAGAAAATGAACATTGAAAAAATCTTATATATACTACCAAAATTAGTTTCTAAAATGTGTTTTTTTCAAAATGGTTTTAAATTTAGCAAACCCTCTCACACCTAGCCAGTTACTAATGTGAGAATTACCCAAAGTTACATTTATGAAATGAACTATTTTGTGTGTTAGTGCTTATGATTGTTTGGGGCATGCTCTGGCCCCCCCCCCCCCCAATCTCTACTACCTCAGATTGTGACTGTATTTGTAGATAGGGCCTTTACCCAAGTACTTAAGGTTAAAATGAGGTCATTAGGATGGGCCCTAATCCAATATGACTGACGTCTTTATAAAGAGATTATGACATAATTACCCACTGAGGAGGATCTTGTGAATATAGAAGATGGTCATCCACAAGCCAAAGTGAGAGACCTTTGTGTAAATAACCCTGCCCATGCCTTGACCTCCTAACTGCTAGTCTCTATAATAGAATTTTAAGCTACCCAGTTTCTGGTACTTTGTTATGGCAACCCTAACAAATTAATACAGTGCAAAGATTTAAAATGGTATTTTGGTGAGGGGCACCTGGGTGGCGCAGTCAGTTGAGCATCTGACTCCTGATTTCAGCTCAGGTCATAGGATCAAGCCTCAAGCTGGGCTCTGAGCTGAGCTTGGAGCTTGAGATTCTCTCTCTCCCTTGGCCCCTCTCTCCCACTCAGTCTCTGTCTCATAAAAAAATAAATGGTATTTTGGTGGAACCTTGTAACTTTATTCCCTAATTAGTGAAGTTGAACATTTTCTCTTTTCTCTTGTGACTTGCCCATTCATACCTCATTGCTTTTTTGAATGTACAGTTCTTTTAAGCTTTTTAATTGCAATAAAGTTTTTGATTTTCATATAATTAAACCTGTTTCATCTTTACCTTTGTCATGTTTGTGAACTGAGAAATTCCTCTTTGGAGGTGTTTCTCCCCACCCCCGCCACCCCGGAAACTTATCCATCTGGAATTTTGGTACATCATGTGAGGCAAAATTCTTTTGCTATTTTTCTGCATATAATTTACTGGTTATCCTAACACAATTTATGGAGTAACTCTTTAATGATTTTGGATATTGCTTTAATTATATATTAAACTCCTGTGTATACACTACACTCTTATACTCTACTCTCTAAAATACTATTCTAGCTATATTCCCCACACCATTTTATTTATTATTACTATTCTAATGTTTATTTTTGAGGGAGAGCAAGTGGGGGAGGGGCAGAGAGGGAGACAGAGGATCTGAAGTGGGCTCCGTGCTACAGCAGAGACTGATGGTGCTTGAACTCAGGAACTGAATGATCGTGACCTGAAATGAATTCGGACAATTGACTGAGCCACCCAGGCGCCCCTCCCCCACACCATTTTGATGTTTGCAGCTAGTAACATTTTCATTGTAATTTGTTTTTTAAAATTTCCATTATCAATTATTCTGGATGTGCTTTATAGTTATTATGTTGAGTTCCCATCTCTACCTCTACCACAACTGGTACAAATTGAATTGAAAAGAACCATCAGTTTTCTTTTAAATTCAATAGTGAAATGGTAACTAATCAACTTTTCTAAACTGATTAAAAGTTGAATCCTATGTATTAAAATTTATCTATTCGGCAGCCTGGGTGGCTAAGTTAGTTAAGCATCCAAATCTTCATTTTGGCTCAGGTCATAATCTTATAGTTTGTGAGATCAAGGCGGGCGTTGGGCTCCAAGCTAACAGTGTGGAGCCCGCTTAGCATTCTCTCTCTCCTCTCTCTCTGCCCCTCCCCTCACTTGTGGGGCGAAGCATTCTCTCTCTCAAAATAAACATTTAAAAAATTAAAAAAATAATAAAGACATTATAAGAATGAGATCTAAGAACCAAATACCCACCATATTGGTACTTAAAAAAAAAAAAAGGACAGTTTAGAATAAAAATTGAGGGAATACCAGTCAATACAAAAACATTTTGACAGTAAAAGCCTCTTAAGAGTGAGGACAAAAAAATTCAATGACATTCAGTTGGAGAAGAAAAATATCAAGTATAAGAAATGTCAAACCAAATTCTGGCCCAAAAGAGGCTTTAATATTAATTCTTGAAACCTAAATGATTAAAATAAAAGGGTGACTCAAAATGTGAGGGCATTAGGGGTACCTGGCTGGCTCAGCAGCTACAGCATGTGACTTTTAAAAATTTTTTTAATGTTTATTTTTGAGAGAGAGAGAGAGGGAGACACAGAATCTGAAGCAGGCTCCATGCCTTGAGCTGTCAGCACAGAGACCTATGCGGGGCTTGAACTTAAGAACCGTGAGATCATGACTTGAGCCGAAGTCGGACACTTAACTGACTGAGCCACCCAGGTGCCCCTACAGCGTGTGACTCTTGATTGCAGGGTCAGCCCATGTTGGGTGTAGAGCTTACTTTAAAAAGTGAGGGTTATTAGTATAATTGACACATCAGTTTAGTAGAAGGTATAAATGGTAATAAGAGGGTATTGCAAGCTAACTTCTAAACTGTAGTTAAGAAAGAAAATATTATTTAGATCAACTATTTGCAGAAATGATACAAACCAATAAATACCTGGCATCAGTTTTAGAATACCCAAAACCTAATCAAGGTGTGGAATATGGTTCTTGATGAAACCAATGGGATAGCCTGATAAATGATAAGGCCTGATTCAGTGAAAGCCCTATGGTCGAGATAAATGTTAGGAGAGCAGCTTCCATTTACTCTACAGAACACTTACCGCATGCCAGAAGTTTTATACACATTATCTCATTTAATCCTCGCAATAGTTTTATGAGAGAATATTATTTAGGGATGAGAAAACTTGGAGATGTTAACCTGCCTAAAGTTACTAGTAGGGGGCAGAGCTGTGATTCAAACAGTCCAGGACTCCACAACTGGTGCTTATAACCAACTAATCGCATTTTCAAAATGATCACCTGTAGAATTCTGTCCTACAGTACTGTAAATGATAGGCCTTAAAAAAAATGTTCCATGGGCAAATTGGGCAATTGAGTGTCTGCTGTACTATAGGACTTCTCTGTGCCTTTACTGTAATTCTAAAGACCAGAAAATAGCAAATGGATTGGCTGGTTTTTCTAGACCATCTCTGTATCTTGTCCTTTCTAACTATGCAAAGTGAATAATTAATGGACAAGGATACTTCCAGGATATGGACTAGATATGGCAGGAATATGTAACTAGGGTGCTCAAAAATACTTGAATTTAAGGCTCAGAATTTCTTTGTTTTTTGCTCAGTGTCTTTTTAAATTATTTTTAAATGTTTCTTTATGAGAGAGAGTGTGAGTGGGGGAGGGGCAGAGAGAAAGGGACAGAGGTTCCAAGTGGGTTCCGACCTGACAGCAGTAAACCTGACGTGGGGCTCAGACTCACAACCACGAGATCATGACCTAAGCATAAGTGGGACACTCAACTGATTGAGCCACTCAGGTGCCCCGAGGCTCAGCATTTAAGAATGAATGTTTATATGTAATAATTAAACAAAAGGGCTTAAAAAAATTAAATACATTAGATGCTAGTTTTAGTAAGGAATATGCTCTAATAACAGGAATAAAAGCTGTGTAGGGCCCTTTGGTACCACCAACTCATAGAAGATCTTAGTTGTAAACAAGCAGAAGGATGATGCAGTCTCTTGACATAATTTAAAACTGGGTAAACCACAATAGGTGTGTTCCTCTGAATAGTCTGCCAAATATTCTTCCAGATCTATTATAGCTACTGTGCAAATGGATTGGCATGAATAGTTATGTCCTTAATGTGTACATCATTAAGAGGTCGGTATGTCTTCTCATTTACTGGTAACTTCTCCAATTCATCTAGAGTCTCTAGACCATCTATTACCCTGAAAGAGAAACCATATAAATGTATGAAACATACTATCGAAATACCTATAGCATTAGAGTTTCCTTAAAAGAAAAGGATAATGTCTCAAAGTTCTTTAAATTTCCTAGTTGAGTGTACAATAAAATACTGATTTGATTTTCTACCACAGATATGAGCCAAAATTCAAGAATTCATTTTTATGCCTTTAGATAATAGCAATGAATAGGAATATTACCACTAAAATATTCCCACAGCATAGCTACAAATGGGTCTAATATAACCATTCACAGATTTTCTTTACTATGGGAAATACCCAGAGAAACTATGTAAGGGTGACACTATTGTTAATCAGTACTGCCCTATACTGAAGGTGCTGAAGTGGGTGGCCACTTTGCACTTTATTGTGTAAATATGGTATTTTTATACTTTTTTACATCTGGGCAACAACAAAAAACAGTAGTAATAAAATAAGAGGGGAAATGGGACACTTAAACCCATTTACAGCAAACCCACCTCATGTTTTCACCAAGAAAAAGAAATATTGACAGCTATCTTCTGGCAAGTTAATCTAAAACATTTGCTAAGAAAAGGTGGCTTTAGATTATACCACCTAGTTCAACTCAAATCAATTCTGGAGACTTGTAGTATTACTTAAAAAGATAACAGAGGGGCGCCTGGGTGGCTCAGGTGGTTAAGCGTCCGACTTCAGCTTAGGTCATGATCTCCCGATTCCTGGGTTTGAGCCCTGCGTAGGGCTGTGTGCTGACAGCTCAGAGCCTGGAGCCTGTTTTGGATTCTGTGTCTTCCTTTCTCTCTCTGCCTCTCCCCTGTTCACACTCTTGTTTCTCTCTCTCTCTCAAGAATAAACATTTAAAAAAATGTTTAAAAAAAATATAACAGATTTACATTTTATTTTGCATTTCTTCTTTAAAATTTTTTTATTTACTTATTTTGAGAGAGAGAGGGAGAGAGAAAATCCCAAGCAGACTGCACACTGACAGCACAGAGTCCAATGTGGGGCTTGAGCCCACAAACCCTGAGATCATGACCTGAGCAGAAACCAAGAGTCAGATGCTTAACCAACTGAGCCACCCAGGTGCCCCCTATTTTGCCTTTTTTTTTAATGTTTGTTTATTTTTGAGAGAGAAAGAATGTGAGTGGAGGAGGGGCAGAGAGAGAGGGAGAGACAGAATGTGAAGCAGGCTCCAGGCTCTGTCTGGGCTGTAAGCACGGAGCCTAATGCGGGGCTGGAACTCAAGACCCCGCACGAGATCAAGACCTGAGCACAAGTCAGGCGCTTAACCGCTGAGCCACCCAGGCACCCCTACATTTCTAATAACCTTTTGAATTTACTTCCAAATGTAGAACCATTAAAGTCTTTAAATTTTAAGTTTCAAAAGCTGTCTCTCCTCCTGGGTCAATAAGAGAAACAGAGGATATGGGAAACAGATCTCAGGCAAAAAAGGGCATGTAAAATTGAGGCCAGTAGGTCAAGTATTTTGGGACACGGGCCCCTTTGAGAATCAAAGGAAAGCTATATACCGTATTCCCAGAAATAAATGTGTTGTATATATATAAAACACAGTTGCAAGGAATTAAGGGACCTAAGGTTAAGAATTTTTGTTTTTTTTTTTAACTTTTTTTCAATGTTTTTACTTGTTTTTGAGAGAGAGAGCGAGCGAGCATGAGTTGGGGAGGGGTCAGCACAGAGCTCAGCTCTGGGCTCGAAATCACGAACTGTGAGATCATGACCTGAGCGGAAGTCAGACGCTTAACCAACTGAGCCACCCAGGTGCCCCTTTTTAAACTTTTTTTTAAAGTTTATTTATTTATTTTTAAAGAGAGAGAGGGAGACAGTGGGGAGTGGAGGGGCAGATAGGGAAAGAGAGAGGATTCCAAGCAGGCTCCAAACTGTCAGTGCAGAACCCAATGCAGGGCTGAAACTTACACACTGAGATTATGACCTGAGCTGAAACCAAAAGTCAGATGCTTAACCAACTGAGCCACCCAGGGGCCCCAAGAAGCTTTGTTTTTAACTCTAGTTTTATCACAAATCTAGTAACATAAACCCTAGTAATTAATGATTAATAATTCTGAATGGTGACTTAAAGGAAAAAATAAAAGGAAGAGAACCTGAATTATTTACGTCCAGGCAAATACTACTAAAGGATGTAATATTTCATTAATTTCACTGGTTATTAATCTATAAATTAGACATATGTATATAGAATGAAATAGAAGGTTGCTGAGTCTTCTATTTTTCATTAACCTAACTTGGAATTCAAACTGTTAAATAAAAGAAACTATAACTGTACCTTGGTTTATTGAGCGTGTAAATATTTGTTGAATAAACAGACAAGTTGACTTCTTGCTGATTTATGAAAGCAATTCCCAGGCATAGTGCTTATAGTGAATATTATGGCAGACCCTGCTAAATGCCTCCCTAGGAGTCAGGCACCCTCTCTTCTTGCAGAAACCTCATTTTACTAAGAATGGCAATGTGTCTAGCCAAAAAACATTTCCTACCCTCCCCTGTAGGTAAGAGGAGGCTTCATTGCTAAGTTCTGGGTCTTCTAGGGAAGGTCTTTAAAAAGGGGCTTACTTGGGGTGCCTGGGTGGCTCAGGTGGTTAAGCATCCGACATTGGTTCAGGTCATGATCTCACAGTTTGTGAGTTCAAGTCCTGTGTCGGGCTCTGTGCTGACAGTTCAGAACCTGGAGCGTACTTTAGAATCTGTGACTCCGTCTCTCTCTGCCCCTCCCCCACTCACGCTCTGTCTCTCAAAAAATAAATATGTTAAATAAATAAATAAAAATAAAAAGGGATTTACTCAGCTGACAAGCAACTAGTAAACTTTTGCTCTTCCTCCTTCCTTCTGCCTGGAACCCATGTTGTGACTGGAGCTGTGCTGCTTACATTATGACCATGAGCTGAGCTTGGGGATGGACGATAAAGATGGTTGAGGAAGAAGAGGCACCACTTAGAATATTGGTGACAAAAAGGAACCATCTTTCTTCATAAGAAGAAATCCATTATATAACTGATACTTTGCATAACGATCCTGAAAAAAGTATTGGCTCCTATTTCGCAAAATAAAGGAATTAAGGCTTGAAGAGGTTATAAATTCCCAAGGTCACAGGGCTGGTAAGTGGAGGGCTTACCAGGTATATTTAGCTTTCTTTTTTTTTTTAAGCATTGATTTATTTTAAAAAATAAATTCCAAAAGGAATTTCCAAAGGAAACCATAACCAGAATACTCACTTTCCAAATACTGTGTATTTCATATCCAAATGTGGCTGCTTGCCATAGGTGATGAAGAACTGAGATCCATTGGTGTTTGGGCCATTATTAGCCATAGATACAACACCTCTAACATTGTGCTGTAAAAGACAGGCCAAAATATTGATTTAACTGTGTTTTTATATAAATGTTCCAAATAATAGGACTGAAACAAGATCTGAACTCTCAGGGACCAAGAAAACAATCAGTTTCTATTAGGGCTAATCTAAATGATCAGTTTCTGGATTATCTATATTTCTGAAACCTTGTATGTAAATTGTTTATATCAAATCATGTGCCCCAATTAATTTCATTTTCACTTTAGAGTAGTAGTCACAAACACTTAGCAATACCAATGTATGATAGGAATCCTTACATTTACATTAAGGAACAGTGTGCTGGCATGAAACAATCAGGCAGACAATAAAACCAAAATCCCCATAACCTCTTCACACATACACTGGACTCTGGCTAGTTTCTTTATCTGTAAAACAAGGGAGGGAGGTTGGACTAGTTCAGGGGTTTATTCAGAATTGAAATGCTCACAAGGGTAAGCAAATAATAAATTAATTGAACAGAATGTAAACATTACAGAGGCTGGCAAAAGGAATGGTGTTATCTCTTGCCTAATGGCCCTAATTTTTTTTTTTTAAACCAATGGCCATAGATAATACATCTGTGGATCTTCCACCCAAGGGCAGTCAGTTCACAACCCAGGACTAGATGATCTAAGGAAGGTCTCCTATAGCTTTAATATTTATCATACTATTTGTTATAAAAGAGACTTGTGTAAAAGAATTAAAAAGACTTTACTGATAAGATTGAAGACATGACAGAACTGTGTTACAAGGAGGTGCAATATAAAAGATCATAAATAACTCTAATGATTATTCTCTCTTTAGCTATTCATCAGGGGACACTAATGACACAAGCAATGGAGATACAACTGCATCAAGATATTAATGCTTTATTGACTTCCTAAAGGTGACTACCAGTCAAATGTTGTATTTGATACATGCACCAGAATGTATGTACCACTTATAACTTAATAAAATACTTAATAACCTATTTCTAAGATTTAAGAATTCAAATTTATCAAACTGTTGCATATGCCTACTACTCCTCTCATCTATTATCCCAGCCTCTCCAAAAGTGAACCATTATCCTACTATCTTTATATATGCCTAAACAATATATTGTTTCCTTTTTCTTGTTTCTGAGCTCTCTAAAGTAGTATCATACTATTTGTAGTCTTCTGGGAAGTACTTTTTACACTATCATTTTCTTTCTAAGATTTACACACATATGTGTGTAGTTCTGATTTTTACTGCTTTATATTATTCCACAACTGAATATACTACAGTGTACATTTTATGATCAATGGACATTTGGGTTGTTTTTAGATTTTTGCTGTTAAAAAAACACTCTAGGAACACTCTTGTTCTGTTTCCTGATGCATTTGTAGAAGAGTTTTCTAGGGTAAACATTTGGGAATGGAATTGCTGGATCAGGGTATGTGAATATTCAATACACACCCTCAACTCTGCATATCAAGATAATGGTTCTTTAAAAAAAAAATTTTTTTTTTTTTTAACATTTATTCATTTTTGAGAGACAAGAGACAGAGCACAAACAGGTGATGGGCAGGGAAAGGGACACACAGGATCTGAAGCAGTCTCCAGGCTCTGAGCTGTCAGCACAGAGCCTGATGCCGGGCTGGAATTCATGAAGTGTGAGATCATGACCTGAGCTGAAGTTGGACGCTTGACCGACTGAGCCACCCAGGTGCCCCTAAAGGTAATGATTCTTAATCTTGACTGTAGGTATCACCAGGAAACCTGAAAATATAATCTAGGTCCTAATCAGTCCTCCTATTTTTCTCTACATTTAGGGGGTTGTAAGACCTTAATATTTTATATTTTTACAACTACACGTGAGTCTGTAATAGCCAGTGTTGAAAATCACTGGTATAGGATGGTGGATTAGTGTTGAGGAGGCAGTTAGTTATTAATTAATGCCTAAAAAGTTCTTGTTTGTAATTCATGAAAAGAATGACTTATAATTTATCACCTCCCAACCCCAACTCCTATAACCAAAGTAATGTTTCCTTATGATAGAAAAACAAAATGAAGAAAAAAAAATTACTCCTAGTACCACCATCCAGACATAAACACCGCAATGAATTTTTTTCAGAGTTTTCTTGGGCATATTTTAATGTAACTGAAATACAATACTAAATTATATATTCTTTAAAAAAATTTTTTTTATTTATTTTTGAGAGAGAGAGAGAGAGACAGAGTGTGAGCAGGAGGGCAGAGAGAGAGACACACACAGAATCTGAAGCAGGCTCCAGGCTCTGAGCTGTCAGCACAGAGCCTGATGCGGAGCTTGAACTCACAAGCCATGAGATCATGACCTGAGCCAAAGTTGGACGATTGACTGAGCCACCCAGGCACCCACTAAGTTACATATTCTTACTGAGCAGAATTTATCTCTCTTTTTCTAATTTCTAAAGTTATCATTCTATGCAGATACAAAGCTTAAAAGACCATATGATAAACTGTTAGCAGATGTCACCTCTGGGAAATGACACTTATTTATTTTAATTTTTTAAATTTAATTTAAAATAAGATTTTTTAAAAATAGGCATGCATTAGTTTTTTAGTAAAAAAAAAAAAAAAAGTTCTTGGGGTGCCTGGCTGGCTAAGTTGGTAAAGCATGCCCTCTTAATTTTCGGGTTGTAAGTTCGAGCCCCATGTTGGGATACACAGATTACTTAAAAATAAAATCTTAAAAAAAAAAGGAATAAAAGTTTGAAAAACACAGAAAAATATGACAAAGGAAATAAAAACCTCTAATTTTACCATGCTATGCATTTCTCTTTAACGTAGTTGGGATCTACCACAGGTATTAAGTTAATACAGGGATATTCAAAGATCTAACAGAAAATGTTGAAAGTTGGACATTGATAATGGCAGTATTGCAACCAGGAAGTCTTTCCTCCCTGCTATCAAAAAAAGCCCAATGATTCAGGTCATTCAACATAAATTTTATAGTGAGACATTAGGCCCTTTTGGTACATTACTGATTAAAACATTTCAGGTTGGGCCCACAGATAAGCTCACTTAATATCAAGATTCATGTGATTGTGAGATTCTAGAATATATTTTAGGTAACAACTGCCATTTATAATTTCTCCCTGGCATTTATCAAGTGTACTACTAGAAAAAAAGTATGTTTGTATACTAATAACATTAACTTGTGTTACTAAAACATATGTATTAAAGGTTTCAAGTGTAAACAAGGCATTAGAAACCAGATGTTGATGCATTGGAGATATACCTTAAGATATTCACTATATTCATCCTCAAATTTCTTGCCCCAGATACTGTTACCTCCTCTTCCGGTACCTATATTACAAGACAAGCAAATCAAAAGAAGTATCTAATTAAAGTTGAGAAAGGGTTAATTTTCTAAAACAAAAGGGCTATTTTATAACTTGTTAGATACAAATAAAATTTGACATGTCCTCTCCTCAAAAAAGTATCTCTACAAAAAACCCAATCCCCTCCCTATCAATATTGTTCATATTTTACTTTAAATCTAAGTGCTGGTAGCTTCAACTAAAAATTTCTTGCTAGGGTAAGGGGCCTGGTTATAAAAACTCTATGTAGGGGAGTTGTTCCCTACATGGGAGTGGCTCAGTTGGTTAAGTGTCTGACTCTTGATGTCAGCACAGGTCATGATCCCAGGGTCAAGGGATCAAGTTCTGTGTCCATGCTCACCATGGAACCTGCTTAAGATTCCCTCTCTCTCTCTCTCTCTCTCCCCCTCCCTCCTTCCCTCCCTCCTCCCCTCTCCCCCCACTTTTGCTCTCTCTCAAAAAAACAAACAAAAAAACCCAAAAATCCACATGCTTATATTTTATCTATTTTATAAAAATTAAATAAATTTTATTTAAAAAATATTTTGAGGGGCGCCTGGGTGGCTCAGTCGGTTAAGCGGCTGACTTCGGCTCAGGTCATGATCTCGCGGTCTGTGAGTTTGAGCCCCGCGTCGGGCTCTGTGCTGACAGCTCAGAGCCTGGAGACTGTTTCGGATTCTGTGTCTCCCTCTCTCTGACCCTCCCCGTTCATGCTCTGTCTCTCTCTGTCTCAAAAATAAATAAACGTTAAAAAAAAAAATATTTTGAGTATAGTTGACACACAATATTACATTATATATTTTTCTATTCTGTCTACCCTCTTTTTCACACTATATACCCAATTCTATAGATATTAATAGAATAACTTACCTGTTGGATCTCCTGTTTGAACCATGAAACCCTTGATATTTCTATGAAATATACATCCATTGTAGTAATTACTGGCACAAAGAGCCAAGAAATTCTGCAAAGAGTAAAAATAATAACTGGGAAACGATATAGCAGGAACATTTAAAGAACAAACTGTATTTACTAAAAACACTATAACAATGTATTTATGTCTTTTAGGCGTTACATTGGATAATGTGACTTCTCTGCCTAAAACACTTTGCTTCCTTCTGTTTTTGGAATAAAACACACAATCTTCAGTAGGGCCTAATAGGCCCTTCATGACCTGGCCTACCTCTGCATCTCATGTGATAATAACTTCTTTCTGTTACTTACTGTGTTAACCCCATCATCCTTCTGAAAATTCATCCACAAGAGGTAAGCTTTCCTACCTTGAGGCCTTTGTATTGCTATCTCTATACCTGGCATATTCTTTTTATATGTCTTTCTATGGAGATGCCTTCATTATTTTTCTGCATGTGATTTAAGTATCACTTTCTTGGTTAGGCCTGCCCTCACCTTCTTTTAAATAATTATTTTCTGTTAGTCCCTACATCAACACTTTATTTCTTTCAAGACATTATCACGTTCTAGAATCACTTTTTTTTTCTAGAATGAATCCCTCCCTGTCCCCCCTCCCTCCTCCAATGCTTATCTTCTCAGCTAGAATATCAGTTTCACGAAGGCAAGGAATGTCTCTTGGTCATTACAGTACTCCCAGACCCTGGCAAGATAGCCTTTCATAAATAATTGTAGATTATTTTTTAAGTTTGAGAGAGAGAGAGAGTGCACGTGTGAACGAATGCCCATGTGCATGAGGGGCAGAGAGAGAATCCCAAGCAGACTCTGCACTGACAGCAGCAGAGCCTGACTTGGGGTTTGATCCTACAAACCATAAGATCATGACCTGAGCCAAAATTACAAGTCGGTGCCTAACCAACTGAGCCACCAGTTGTCCCCATAAATAAATGTTGAATGAATATATAGAGAGAGCCAATTCTTTCCTTCTTTGTCACTTAAACAAGTAAAATAACATAAGAAACAGTTATCTTACCTAACATGCTAATGATTACTTATGTTTCCAGAGGAAAATAAGTCAAAAGAAAAAGACACCAGCCACTCTATGGTTAGAGAAAAATTATCTACTCTTTCTTTGATCCTCAAAGGTTAAGTGGAAACCAGGCCAATAATTGTAATGGATAGTTTTTCCTGACAATTGTTTTGTATTTTTAAATTTTATGTTTATTTATTTTTGAGAGAGATCATGTATGCATGTGTGTGCAGGGGAGGGGCAAAGTGAGGGAGGGGTAGAGGGCTGCCATGCTGGCAGCAGAGAGCCTGTTGTAGGGCTGGAACTCAAGAATCTGAACCATGAGATCAGGACCTGAGCTGAAGTCAGACACTTAACCAACTAAGCCACCTAGCCGCCCCATGACAATGGTTTTATAGACAAGTTTTTTTTAATTTTTATATTTTTAGGTTAGATAATTTGATTTCAAAATGGTTATCCTGTTGCATTAACTCATTTTTAATATGTACATAATGATACTTACCTCACATGTTTTGGGTGTCCTTTCACAGAAGACTTCTATTTTAATATCACCTACATCTGTATGCAGTGTCACTGACTAAAAAGGAGAGAGAATATGAGAACAATTAGGATTTCTTCGGATGACTTTATGCATTGTATTATTTCCCAAACTAGATTAAAGATGACAATCTGAATGAAAACACAGAAAGAAATACCATTTCAGAGATGACCTATCCACATAGCTAAGAAGCTGTACTTCTTCAAAATTTATTTCAGCAGTAGAAAAAAAACTCCAGATGATAAATATATGTTAATGTAAAATAGTATCCACCCTAAAAACTTGACAGTAAATACTGTGATGGAAATACTTAAAGTTTGAATTTTTCATCAATAAAAATGAAAACAATGGTTAGTATTACTGATTTAAATAGCAACTCCCAACATCATTAATATATATTGAAAAACAGTAAGAAAATGACTTTTCAAAACATAGTCTGCACCATTTCCCTTAATGTAATTATTATTTTTTTTTTAATTGTTTTTTTCAACGTTTATTTATTTTTGGGACAGAGAGAGACAGAGCATGAACGGGGGAGGGGCAGAGACAGAGGGAGACACAGAATCGGAAACAGGCTCCAGGCACTGAGCCATCAGGCCAGAGCCTGACGCGGGGCTCGAACTCGCGGACCGCGAGATCGTGACCTGGCTGAAGTCGGACGCTTAACCGACTGGCCACCCAGGCGCCCCACCCCTAATGTAATTAAATTGAGAGGCAGTGTTAAAAACAATTCCTTTCTTCACTAAAGACAACAATTCTCAGTTTTTCTAGATTCTAAATGTGCAGAGATAACCATATTACTCTTGCTTGCTTGTTTTTTGTTTATCTGATGTTGAGTAACATTCCTTTTGTTACCCATTGTGGGGTGGGATTCTGAGAGGTTATTATTTTTTTAATGTTTATTTTTGAGGGGGGAGGGGCAGAGAGAGAGAGGGAGACAGAATTTGAAGTAGGCTCCAGGCTCTGAGCTGTCAGCACAGAGCCTGGCACGGTTCTCAAACTCAGGAACCTCGAGATCATGACCTGAGTGAAGCCAGAAGCTTAACCAACTGAGTCACCCAGGCACCCCTCGCGGGGTTATTCTGAGCCTTCCTTTTTCATTTCTTTTCTTCCAGTAGTATCCAGCAGTCAGTATGTTCAGGTTGATAGAGGGCAGGAGTGTGAGGTGGGGTTGGGGGGGGGGGGGAGACAGCATGATTCTCATTGCTTCTACTTCAAGCTCTAGTTGCCCACCTTAGAACAAACAAAAGGATCCAATTAAAATGATCACACCTGGCTATACACTTCAACTCCCTCTTTCCATCTATATGTTGTAATCAGTCTTTTTCTGTAAAAAGTAAATTCTATGCATTTTAAGTGAAAACACTGAAGAATTTAAAAGTAGTTTGTTTCTGGCTTTGTTTAGAGGCATCATACATTTTATGCTTCTACAGTTTATCATTTCTGTCTTGCCATTGAAAGTTCATGCAGCTTTATTTCCCTTCAATGAATTTCTAAAAATTATTTATAATGAAAGGCATTCATAAGAATTGTGTAAAACTTACCATTTTTCTTCCTGATGGTTTCGGGAAGTATTATTGCTTAATTTCTCAGTCTCCCTGAGAGAAGTTAGAAAACGAATCTCTATTCCCAAAAGAGAAAATAATTAAGTTCATTTTCCTCTCTTAATTCACACGTGCTCATTTTTAATGCATATTTAAAATGCCTACAATAGCACCCTCTAAGTAATAAAAATTTGGTTATGGAAATGATGAGATCCTATCCGACTCAAGCCCCTCAATCTCTTACTTCCCCTGCTCACTCTTCTTCAAAAACCTCCTCGCAAACTCCGCAACTAGCCAGGTACATTTCCGCCTTGGGATCTAGGCACTGGGTGTTCCTTTTGTCTGGAACACTTATACTTAGACATCTGGACAGCTATTTTCCTCACGTCCAAGTCTCTGCTCAAAAGTCAGGTCTCATTGGCCTGATAACTCTATTTAAAACTGCCTTGACTCTAGTGCCTGCCCAATTTCCTTTTTTCATAGCACTTATCACTAATATACTACATATTTTTCTAATTAAATCTGTTCCAACACCACCCTCCCCGCCCAGAATGCTGACGCAAGCCCAAGAACTAAAACACGGAGCTTGACAAGTGTCTCAATAAGTGAATGAAAGAGTGTGTGATATTACTTACCACTTCAGTTAGCACAGCTCTAATTGAAACGACACATGCCGTTCCTTGCAGGTGGCCATGTTTCGAAATAAGTGTCTTAGGGCTACCGGAAGTCGAGCGCGGGACCCATTAGCGAGAACGCCCCTCTCCTGCTCGCCTCCTTTTCCCTTCCAGCCTCATTGCTATCTCAAACCAAAATGACTAGAACTAGGAAGACAGTGTCATTTATCTTCATCTGGTACGCTTTTGACAGTGAACGGGAGCTCTTTTAATGATAATACAAAGACACAAAATGTAAACCGGAACTCTGGGCAACCTCCAGAAGTGCCTTGGGTTCAGACGTAAAACGGGAAGGACCACTTCCGCCCAGCTCCTTTTCCCCGCCCCATCTTGCAATGCCAAGAGTCCCTGCGCAGGACCGGAAGTGGTGCTAGAGGAGAATTGGTGAGTCCTGGGCTATTTATTCCCGCTTGGCCAGGCCCAGGTTAGCGTAAATTGTGGGAGTTGTGAGATTGCGTCTGTGAAAGGAGGCAGAGGAGGAGACAGGGGCAGGAAACTGGCTTGTGGCATAAGAGCATAGGGCACCAGGGGAGCAGGGGTCCTAACTCAGCAGTTTCTGCCAGTGCCTGGTCTCGTCACTGTCCTGGAAAAGGTCTGAAGTGGGATTGAAATGTCAGGTAGATAAAGTAACGTAAGAGGGTGCAGTTCGCAGGCTGTAAAGTGGTCCCTACTAATGTATTTTAAAAACAGTGCTTACTCTAGGCCAGGCATTGTTCCCAGCTGTACGGTTAAATCTTGTGACAACACTATAAGCAGGGCACTTTTATTCTCATTCTAGAGAAGGTGAGACAGCAGAGGTTGAGACATTTGTTACACAGCTGTGGTTCTGGGAGTTCGTTGCGTTTCAAAATGGGTCCTCCAACCCACAATGCTATGCAGCCTCCCATTGTTAATTGTTGGCGTCAAGCTTCGCGGTTTTCTAAAAATGGAGGGTGTTCTATGTTATTTACAAGGGTTCTTTCAAATTTAGCAGTAAATAACCCAAAAGTGGTATGGTGGCCCACTAGGGCTTCACTTTCAAGGCCTGCCAGATTTAGAAGAGTCTGGAAAGTGGGGCAGTATCAGATCTTGGAAATTCTAGAGTGGAAGTGGTTATAAGGACCTTTAGAAGGTCTTCCGAGACCTTAGGCTCCAGTAGATTTTGTAGGCTCTGTATCATTTCTGTGTTTTTGTTTTTGTTTTTAAGAAAAAGCGTGCGGGGAGAGGGGCAGAGGGAGAGAGAGAATTCCATGCAGGCGCCGTGGGGCCTGACACGGGGCTTCATCGCAGGACCCTGGGATCATGCCCTGAGTCAAAATCAAGAAGAATTGGGTACTCAACCAACTGAGCCCCCCCCACCCCCCCGGGCGCCCCATTCAAATCAGATACTGAACAAGTACTCACATCTCTTAGTAAACATTTCTGCTGAAAAAAATAGTTTTTTTCAACAAATTTGTTAAACATTTTTGTTGAAAGAATTTGTTTTTGAAATTACTGGGTTATGACTAATTTGATAAAATTTACAGTTGGCCATGCTTTTCTTGTTAATTATTGTGCATACAATGAATGCTTTTCTTCAAAAACAGAAATGTTCCTAGAATCTTAATGGAATTAACAGTGTTTTGTATAGGGGCTAGACACTGAAGATGTTTATTAAGAAAAACTTTATTTGAGGCACCTGGGTGGCTTAGTTGGTTAAGTGTCCAACTTCAGCTCAGGTTATGATCTCACCGTTCCTGAGTTCAAGCCCTGCATCAGGCTCTCTGCTGTGAGCACAGATCTGGCCTCAGATTCTTCCTCTCTGTCTGTGCCCCTCCCCTGCTCACACTGTCTCTCTCAAAAATAAATGTTAAAAAAAAAAAAAAAAAAAAAAAGCTTTATTTAAGAAGTTAAAGGATGGGGCACCTGGGTGACTCAGCTGGTTAGTGTCTGACTCGATTTCAGCTCAGGTCATGATCTCCCAGTTTGTGAGAGCCCCGAGTTGGGCTCTGTGCTGACAGCATGGGATATTCTCTCTTTCTTTCTCCCCCACCATTCCTCTCCCCACCCCTCCCCCACTTGCACGGTCTCTGACTCTCTCAAAATAAATAAAAAGTTGAAGGAAACTTGTAAGGAAAGATAGTATTTAGAGTAATGGAAAAGGGATGAGGGTGGTTGAAGCAAGGATGGGGAGAAAAAGAACTTTGTGTTGGGGGCTGAGGGAAGTGGGGATGAATGTGTACTATGTACCAGGCTTGTGCTAGGTGATTTACACATCTTAATTGATTTGCTTCTATGGATGGCCTTTGATTTTGGTTATAGTAGCTCCCATTTGGTAAATGAGAAAACAGCCTCAGAGAAGCTAAGTGACTTACCTAAGGTATCATGTGCTGGTAAGTGGCAGAATCAGTATTTGAACCCAGGGATATGTGACTATAGTTCTTTTGCTCATATGCTTTGCTACCTCAAAGGTCCAGGCTTAAAGTGTACATGTGTACCATTTCCTGAGTATTGACTTCAGATACTCAATTTTACCTGATTTCTTCTCTCCCTTTTGTTTTGTTTTGTTTTGTTTTGTTTTGTTGTTGTTAGTGTGCAAGCTGGAGAGAGGGGCAGAGAGAGAGACTCTTAAGCAGGCTTCATGCTCAGTGGGGAGCTCAGTGCAGAACTCGATCCCACAGCTCTGGGATCGTGACCTGAGCTGAAATCAAGAATCAGACGCTCAACTGACTGAGCCATTTCTGTATGTTATCTCGTGTACTCCTCACTCCCACAACAATCCGGCTTGTTCATTCCCTGATCTGCAGTTCTTCCCGTTCCTTCATGGATTTGAAGGTTCTCCTTTCCTCCTTGAATGACTTTGCATCCCTCTCACTTGCTGAGAGTTGGGACAATGTTGGATTACTGGTGGAACCAAGCCCACCACACACTGTAAACACACTCTTCCTTACCAATGACTTGACCGAGGAAGTGATGGAGGAGGCGCTGCAAAAGAAGTCGGATCTTATTCTCTCCTACCATCCGCCTATTTTCCGACCTTTGACGCACATAACCTGGAAAACATGGAAGGAGCGCCTGGTGATTCAGGCTCTGGAAAACAGAGTTGGTATTTACTCTCCTCACACAGCCTATGATGCTGCACCCCAGGGAGTCAATAGCTGGTTGGCTAAAGGGCTTGGTGAGAAGCCTCTTCTTTCATGTTTAATATTTTCCCTACGAATGCTTTGAAATTTTAGAATGTCTTTCTAGTAGAATTTTAACTGCTTTAGATGTGGGTACCATTCTATTTTTATATATTTAAAAATAATGTTGTGAAATCTGGCCATTAAATTGCATTTGAGAAATTAAATTTTCATCCTTAGTAAGGAGAGCCTAGGAAATCTTTATTGCTGGACTGAACTTTGTGAGTCCTCACTCTCGTGACACAGTGCCTGGCACCCAGAAATTCAAGAAGTGCTTGTTAAATTGAGCTCTGAAATCTCAGATCTCTCCAGGATATTCTTTGTATGTCAGTTAGATAGAAATCAGATTTTCACTGAATGCTTACTCATGCCCAGCACAATGACGGAATTCAGCCTATGTGTTTTAGCTTTATTTTTAGTTAGTTATTTTCATTTACTCATTTGGGGTTGAAACTTTTATGATGACATAATCTGAATTAATGTGGTCAAGTAGGTTATGAGCTTTTGCAACCTGAATGATGATTTACCTGAATAAATTTAGTAAGCAGTCACAATTCTATGTATCGTCTAAAACTTCATGAGTCCAGTTTTTGTGGTATTTAACAGTCTTCTGGAAAATAATTCTGAAAATAAATTTGATTTTATGTCAATACTAAATCACTAGATTATGGGGACTTTTGGATGTATATGTAAGGGATATATATATGTGTGCATATTATATAAACATCAGTTTCTAAAAGCTTATTTCTTAAATTTTGCCCATAATAGTTTATCTTTTTAATTAAAAAAAAAAAAACAAAACACAATTTTATTCCTAGGAGTTTGCACCTCCAGGCCCATACATCCTTCCAAAGCTGCCAACTACCCAACGGGGGGAACGCACAGAGTAGAATTCAGTGTTAACTCCACCCAACACCTGGACAAAGTCATTTCTGCAGTGAAAGAAATTGCAAATATTTCTATCACTTCTTTTTCTACTAGGTATGATATATTTTTCTTCTTTTTTGTGTGTACTTATCTGTAAGGATCTTCTTTATAAATTCTGTAACTCTAGTACTGTGAACTGAAACAAATTGTTTCCCCCCAGGATGGGTTTACGAGGCAGTATACTTCTCATTTGCATGTAGGTGCTCCAGAAGAACCATGGGTTTTTTTTTCCTGAAACAATAAAAATGACAAGTAACACTTACTATTTTCTAGGTGGGAGGGACTATACTATGCCTTTTATTTACAACGTTTCTAATTCCCCTGATAATGTTGAAAGGTGGTTTTTATAGTATATAGATAAACCCTACTGACTCACTGATTACATAGGTTTACTCTTACCAGTTTCAAGCAAATCAGTGATTCTCAAACACTTTAATGGAAGAAGACATTCAGGTGCCTCTTATAAGGCCAATCATTTATTTAGGGCAGAGATATCAAAATGGTGCCTTTAGTGGATTTTCTTTGAAGCTAACTTATCCGAACATCTTTTGAAGCATGTTAAGAGACAAGTTAGACAAAGCTGGAACTTAATGTTTAAAAAAACAAAGATGAATATAATAACTTTAAGAAGATGGAGATGTGTTCCAGGCTGCAACAAAAAGGGACTCTTGTGAGTGGTTTTTAGGTGTAGATACCTTGTAATAAAATTATTGCAAATGCTTTCTAATAGTGTTGAGGGATTTAAAAAACCTCAAGAAAAATTATTTCTAGGACTTTGTATAGATTCCAGTTATGGATGTCTTTTACCATATTGAAATACTGTGTAAGTACTGAAATTAAAAAGATACACATGAAAATTTCAAACAGTGTAAAAGTCCTCCTTGTTCCCTCTACTCAATTCCAGTATCTTCAATTCATGTTACCTTTTCCTTTGTTTTCAGAGAAGTGGGTATCTTTCTAAACACATACAGGAACATGGAGAAATGCAGATTTTTGTGTTTGTTTTTTTTTTTTTAATTAATTAAATGGCATGCTGCATTTGCCTCTTTTACTGAACAAGAGGTCTTAGAGATCTTTCTATGTAGGTATAGAAGATCTCTTTAACTGCTATGTAGTGTTTCTTATGGATCTACTGGACTTTCTTTAAGCATTTCTCTTCCTAACTAATGAGCTTTTTCCTTTTTTAAAAAGTTTATTTATTTTGAGAGAAACAGAGACAGTGCGAGCTGGGGAGGGGCAAAGAGAAAGGGAGAGAGAGAATCCCAAGGAGGCAGCGCAGAGCCCAATGTGGGGCTCCTAATTCATTAAACCAAGAGATCATGACCTGAGCCGAAATCAAGAGTCAGACACTCAACCGAGTCACCTAGGTGCCTTCCCCCCCTTTTTAAAACTGATGCACATTTAGTTTGGTTTTAGTTTTTCCTTATTATGGGTGATATCTGGGTTTTGTGATTAGATTGGGGTCCAGGCACTTTTTCCCTTTTTCTTGTCAAAGCTCTACAGATGATTCCAGTGTTGACAACTACTCTTCCAGATTCTTTTAAGGTGTCTTTTTGCTCTAGAATTCTATGATTATATTTTTAGAGTTTATGGTTAAATACAAAACTTTTCTGATGCCAGTGTTTTTGGAGACACTTCAGGGCATTGCTTCTCAGGGTTATTCAAGACCCCCTACAGAATGTTGGCTTCATCCTAAAGCTATGTAATTAGAATGGGGTTTGCCTGAAAATCTGTCCAGGAGATTCTTGTTTCAGTGGTTTGAAAAATTAACTTCTTTGGGCCTTAAAAAAATTCAGTTTGAGGGCACCTGGGTGGCTCGGTTGAGTGTCCAACTTTGGCTCAGGTCATGATCTCATGGATTGTGACTTTGAGCCCCACATCGGTCTTATGGCTGTCAGCTTGGAGCCTGCTTTGGATCCTCTATCTCCCTTTCTCTCTGCCCTTGCCCCGAGCGTATGCGTGCGTGCGTGTGTGTGTGCGCGCGCGCGCGTTTTCTCTCTGTCTCAAAAATAAAAAGCCCTTCATTTGGGAAAAAAATTCGATTTGCTTTGGCCCCATTCATAGAAGTTCTATTTCACTGGATCTGTAGAAGGGTCCAGTAGCTATCATTTTAAGAAGCTAGCAGATTTCTGATGCATACCTGGGATTAGGAACAGTTCTAGAATAGTAGTTTCAAAGTGAGGTCCCTGAACCAGCAATATCAGCATCACCTGGAACTTGTTAGGTAAATTCTAAGACCCCACCTAGATCTAGTGAATATGAAACTGGGGAGTTGGGGTGGAGCTCAACATTCTATTTTAATAAGTCTACAAGGAGATTTGGATGCATGCTGAAGTTTGAAAAATATTTTTGTTTATTTATTTAATTTAATTTTTTTAAGTTTACTTATTTTGAGAGAGAGAGCGAGAGAGAACACGAGCAGGGGAAGGGCACAGAGAGAATCCCAAGCAGGCTCCGCACTGTCAGCACAGAGCCTGACTGGGGTCTGGAACTCACAAACTGAAAGATCATGTCCTGAGCAGAAGTCAAGAATCTTGACACTTAACCGACTGAGCCACCCAGGTGTCCCTTGAGAAATACTATTCTTGGGGCACCTGGGTGGCTCAGTCGGTTGAGCGACTAACTTCGGCTCAGGTCATGATCTCGCAGTTTGTGAGTTCGAGCCCCACGTTGGGCTCTGTGCTGACAGATCAGAGCCTGAAGCCTGCTTCAGATTTTGTGCCTCCCTCCCTCCCTGCCCCTCCCTGCTCATGCTTTGTCTCTCTCTGTCTCAGAAATAAATAAACATAAAAAAATTAAAAAAAAAAGTATTCTTGAAAATGGTTTGGGATTGCAACCTAAATTTCATGTAAATTTTTTTTTTTTTAAGTTTGTTTATTTTGAGAGAGAGTGAGTGCAAGCGGGGGAGGGGCAGAGAGAGAGGGAGAGAGAGAATCCCAAACAGACTCTGTCTGTCAGCAAGGATCCTGATGCAGGGCTTGAACCCACAAACTGAAATCATGACCTGAGCTGAAACCAAGTGTCAGAGGCTTAACTGACTGGGTCACCCAGGCGTCCCCTAAATTTCATGTAAATCTAATCTTAATTATAGGAGGTTGTAAAGTGTGGATTGTTTATATGTTTTACTTATATTCATCCTAGAACAGCAAGTGATTTTTTTTTTTTTTTAATAGGACTGATGATGAAGAACAAACACGGATTAGTCTGAATTGTAGTCAGGAGGCTTTGTTACAGGTGATGGCTTTTCTTTCCCAGAACAGACAATTCTATCAGAAGACTGAAATTCTGTTACTAGAGAAGGTAATAAAAATATATACTGTGCATTTTTGTTTGGCAAATTCATTTGTAAGTTGTTATATCAACACACTGTCAACTGTTACCTAAAGAAGCACAAGGTAGTGTTGAGGGCATAAAATACCCTGGAAAATATACTGTACTGAGAAAGGGAGACATTCCAGGAATGGAAAAGTGTTGGTAGAGGTTTTAGTTCATTCAGGCTGTTATAACAAAATACCCTGGACTGGATAGCTTATGAGCAACAGAAATTTATGTCCCACAATTCTGGAGTCTGGGAATTCCCAAGATTATGGTGCTGACAGATTTGGAGTGGTATCTGGAGAGGGTCCACTTCCTGATTCATCATCGGTACCTTCCCTCTGTGTTCTCACGTAATGGGAAGCACTAAAGATATCTCTTGGAATCTGTTTTATAAACTAATTCCAGTCATGTGGGCTCCCCTCTCATGACTTAAGTACCCCCTAAGGGCTCCACCTGCTAATACCATCATCCTTGGGGGTTAGGATTTCAACATAGGAATTTGTGCAGGGGCAGACACATTCAGGTTATAGAAGTGTAGTATTGTGTGTTTTTTTTGTGTGTATTTTTTTAAATGTTTATTTTTTTTAGAGAGTGACAGAGTGTGAGTGGGAGAGGGGCAGAGACAGAGGGAGACACAGAATCCAAAGCAGGTTCCAGGCACTGAGCTGTCAGCACAGAGCCTGACGTGGGGCTCGAACCCCCCCGCCCATGAGATCATGACCTGAGCCGAAGTTGGACGCTTAACCAGCTGAGCCACTCAGGTGCCCCAGTGTAGTAGTTTTTTTTTTTAATGTTTTTTTTATTGAAGTATGGTTGAAACCCAGTATCATATAGTACTTTTTAGGGTTAGAGACTCGGTTACAGGTTCTATCTCTTTTATACCCTCTGCCTGGACCATTCTATTTGCTCCTTTAACTTGACAGCTATTCATATGGTGATTTCTGCATCTTTACTTTCTGGCTCAGAATGCTTTCTTAAGGTAAAAACTTAAAAAAATAAACCCATATTTCCTGGAACTCTCTGTTCTACTTAATGGATCCCACATATAATTTAGTATATACAAATATTGACCTTATTCCCACATCTCCCCTTTGAATATTACTCTTTTCTATTTCATTGGTGGCATCATCTTCTGCCTGATTTTCCAAGTTTACACAGCTCTCCCTTGCCTCTCATAAATCCATGCCTGCTGATTCTGTCCCCAAATCTATAGAATGTTTCTCTTCTCTATGTCACCACAGTAGTTGAAAAGTTGTGCTTTGTCACCACAGTAGTTGAAACTCTCCTATCCCAGGTAACAAAAGAAGAGTAGTCTCCCTAGTGGGCACCGGAAGGGCGACAGTCCATGCTTTTTCTCATAGTGTACTGGCCATGGCCTCTGTCTCCATCCCTTGCTCTGCACATCAGCTGTAGCGTCTGCTCTTGGAACCGCTCTGAGCTCATACCTTTCCACATCTCACCCTATCCCTTTCCTACCACACTATACTTGACATCACATTATTATTATTATACATTTTTTTACTTTTTTCTGGTCTGGGAGGCCTACGTTTTTGCAAAACCTTTGGTTCCACTTTCTCCAAGTATCCCCACCCCAAGTCCCAGCTCATTTATTTTGTCATTTCTTTGTGCTCCCATAAAATGGTTCCTGTCTTGTATTTAAACACTTTTATTGTGATTAGTTATCTAAACATTTGCCTCTCAGGAAATTGAGCTCCTAGAAGTCAGAGAATGTTTTTGTCAGGCTTGCATCCTTGAACTTCAACCGGGACCTGGCTGTAGTAAGCTCACAGTGTGCATGTTTTATTGATCTCAGTATTTGCTGTATGTTTTCTAGGACTGAGATGGACAGTTTTCTAACTTGTGTTTCTCTTCAGCCTCCACTTCCGCAAACTGGGATGGGACGGTTGTGCACACTGGATGAGCCTGCTTCCTTGGCAACCATGATTGAGCGAATCAAAAGGCACCTTAAACTAGCTCATGTTCGCCTTGCTCTTGGGGTAGGAAGGACCTTAGGTAAATATGACCCATTTATTTGTCCAGTGTACCTACTAATCATGTAGTATTACATAGTATTTGGGCAAAAGTTGATGGTTTGGGTTGTAGTAATGTGACAGGAAACATGTTAGCTCACGGGGGGCTGACTGATTTATTTTATCAATCCAGGTGGGCTAGGTTATGCTGTGGTGTACATCTCATTTGGCTCAAGGAAGATTTATGTCTCACTCCTACTCCATGTTCATTTGAAGTCAGCAGGAGAAGTCTACTCATCGTACACTGATTGCTGTTGCAGAGGGGGAGTTTTGGATGGTCTTGGACCATCAGTTAAACATTAACCCAGAAATGATACATTTTCTGTTCAAATCATTGTCTAGAATGAATCACATTTTGAGCACAAGTCAGGGCATGAAGCACAGTCCTACCATGGGCCAGGAAGGGCGCCGGAAGTTTTTATTATTCCAATTACAATGCAAGTATTCTATTTTATAATACTGATGGCATTTTACAGCAAGGTGCCAAGTGATCCACTGCAGTTTCCGAGTCTTGTAGTCTTGGTTTTTGGCTTTTAAATACTGCAGTAAACATAGGGGTGCATATATCTTTTCAAGTTAGTGTTTTTATTTTCTGTGTGTAAATATCCAGTAGTGGAATTACTGGGTCATATGTATTCCTATTTTTAATTTTTTGAGGAACCTCCATACTGTTTCCCACGGTGGTTGCACTTAGTAATGTTCCCACTAGCAGTGCATGAGGGTTCCTTTTTCTCCACATCCTTGCCAACACTTGGTATTTCTTGTCTTTTTGTTTTCAGACAGTCTGAGAAGTGTGGGTGATCTCTCACTGTGGTTTTGTTATGCATTTCCCTGATGATTAGCGATGTTGAGCATCTCTTCATGTGTCTTTTGGCCATCTGTATGTCTTTGGAAAAATGTCTTTTCAGGTCTTCTGCCCATTTTTAAATTGGATTATTTGTTTTTTTATAGTGTTGAGTTGTAGAAGTTCTTTATATATTTTGGATGTAAGCCTGTCATTGGATATATCATTGCAAATATCTTTTCCCATTGAACAAATTGCCTTCTCATTTTGTTGATGGTTTCCTTTGCTGTTCAAAAGCTTTTTATTGTGGTGTAGTCCCAATAGTTTATTTTTGCTTTTGTGTACCTTCCCTGAGGAGACCTATCTAGAAAAGTATTTCTAAGGCCGGTGTCAGAGAAATTACTGCTTATGTGTTCTTGTAGGAGTTTTATGGTTTCAGGGCTCATATTTAGGTTTTTAAACCGTCTTGGGTTTATTTTTGTATATGGTATAAGAAAGCTGTCCATTTTCACTTTTTTGAATGTAGCTGTCCACTTTACCCAACACCATTTGTTTCTTTGTTTGTTTTTTCTATTGATAACCAACTTTATTTTTTTTCTTTTATTTATTTATTTATTTTTAAAATATAATTTATTGTCAAGTTACCTAACATACAGTATATACAGTGTGCTCTTGGCTTCGGGAGTAGATTCCCATGATTCATTCCTTACATACAGCACCAGTGCTCATCCCAATAAGTGCCCTCCTCAATGCCCATCACCCATTTTCCCCTCTCCCAATCAACCCTCAGTATGTTCTCTATTTAAGTGTCTCTTACGGTTTGCCTCCCTCTCTGTCTGAAACTATTTTTCCCCCTGCCCTTCCCCCATGGTCTTCTGTTAAGTTTCTCAAATTCCACATATGAGGGAAAACATATGTATCTGTCTTTCTCTGACTGACTTGTTTCACTTAGCATAATACCCTCCAGTTCCGTCCATGTTGTTGCAAATGACAAGATTTCATTCTTTCTCATTGCCAGGTAGTATTCATTCCATTGTGTATATAAAACACATCTTCTTTATCTTTTCATCACTTGATGGACATTTGGGCTCTTTCCATAATTTGGCTATTGTTGATAGCGCTGCTGTAAACGTTGGGGTACATATGCCCCTGTGATTCAGCACTCCTATATCCTTTGGATAAATTCCTAGTGATGCTATTGCTGGGTTGTAGGGTAATTCTATTTTTAATTTTTTGAGGAACCTCTGCACTGTTTTCCAGAATGTGGCTGTACCAGTTTACATTCCCACCAACAGTGCGAGAGGGTTCCCATTTCTCCATATCCTCGCCAACATCTGTTGTTTCCTGTGTTAATTTTAGCTACTCTGATTGGTGTGAGGTGGTATCTCAGTGTGGTTTTGATTTGTATTTCCCTGATGATGAATGATGTTGAACATCTTTTCATGTGTCTGTTGGCCATCTGGATATCTTCTTTGGAAAAGTGTCTGTTCATGTCTTCTGCCCGTTTCTTCGCTGGATTATTTGTTTTTTGGGTGTTGAGTTTGGCAAGTTCTTTATAGATTTTGGATACTGACCCTTTATTTGATATGTTATTTTCAAATATCTTCTCTCATTCTGTTGGTTGCCTTTTAGTTTTGTTGATTGTTTCCTTTGCTGTGTAGAAGCTTTTTATCTTGATGAGGTCCTAATTGTTAATTTTTGCTTTGTTTCATATTTCCCTTGCCTTCGGAGACATACCAAGTAAGAAGTTACTGGGACTGAAGTCAAAGAGGTTGTTGCCTGTTTTCTTCTCTAGGGTTTTGATGGTATCCTGTCTCATATTTAGGTCTTTCATCCATTTGAGTTTATTTTTGTGTATCATGTAAGAAAGTGGTCCAGTTTCATTCTTTTGCATGTTGCTGTCCAGTTCTCCCATCACCGTTTGCTAAAGAGACTGTCTTTTTTCCACTGGATACTCTTTCCTGCTTTGTCAAAGATTAGTTGGCCATATGTGGGTCCAATTCTGGGTTCTCTATTCTATTCCCTTGGTCTGTGTGTCTGTTTTTGTGCCAATACCAGACTGTCTTGATCATTACAGCTTTGTACTAGAGGCTAAAGTCTGTGATGGTCATGCCTCCTGCTTTGGTTTTCTTTTTCAACATTACTTTGGTTATTCGGGTCTTTTGTGGTTCCATACAAACTTTAGGATTGTTCCAACACCATATGTTGAAGAGACTTTTTCCCATTGGATATTCTTGCCTCCTTTGTTGAAGATTAATTGACCATATATAAATGGGGGTATATTTCTCAGCTGTTCCATTGATCTATGTGTCTATTTTTATGCCAGCACAATACATTTTTGATTATTAAACCTTTGTAGTATATCTTGTTTTTAACGTATGTTTATTTTGAGGGAGAGAGAGAGAGACACAGAATGAGCAGGGGAGGGGGCAGAAGGAGAAAGAGAATCCCAAGCAGGCTCTGCGCTGTTGGCACAGAGTTTGATGTGAGGCTCAATCCCATGAAGTGTGTAATCATGACCTGAGCCGAAATCAAGAATTGGACCCTTAACCGACTGAGCCACTCGGGTGTCCCTGTAGTATATCTTGAAATTGGGTAGTATGATGATGCCTCCTGCTTTGTTCTTTCTCAAGATTGCTTTCAATGTTCAGGGTCTTTTGTGCAGCCACACAAATTTTAGTATTATTTGTTCCAGTTCTGTAAAAACTACTGTTAGTATTTTGATAGGGATTGCACTGAATCTGTAGATTGCTTCGGTAGTATGGACATTATCACAATATTAATTCATCACATCCATGATAGTGGAATATCTTTGCATTTCTTTGGGTTACCTTCAATTTCTTCCATCAGTGTTTTATAGTTTTCAGAGTATAGGACATTGACTTCATTGGTTGAGTTTATTCCTATTTTATTCTTTTTGGTGCAGTTGTAAATGGAGTTGTTTTCTTAATTTCTCTTTCTGCTATTTCATTATTAGTGTATAGAAATGCAACAGATTCCTGTGTATTAGTTTGTATTTTGCAACATTATTGAATTCATTTATTATTACTTTTGGTGGAGTCTTGGGGTTTTCTTGTGTATACTGTTATGTTGTCTGCAAATAGTGAGAGTTTCACTTCTTCCTTAACAATTTGGATGCCTTTTATTGTCTGATTGCTATGACTAGGACTTCCAGTGGCAAGAGTGGGCACCCTTGTCTTGTTCCTATTAAAGGTATGTTTCCTTTAAACCCACTTTGAGGTTTTTATCATGAACAGATGTTGAATTTTATCCTGTTCTGCCCCTATTGAGATGGTCATATGATTTTTATCCTTTGTTAATGTGTTTTACATTGATATTCTGAATATTGAAGGATCATCCTTGTGTCCTTGGAATTAATTCAGTTTGGTTGTGGTGGATGTATTGGTGAATGTGGGTTGCTAGTATTTTGTTGAGGATTTTTGCATCATTCACCAGGGATATTGGCCTGTAGGTTGGGAGTGTCTTTGTCTAGTTTTGGTGTCAGGGTAATGCTGACCTTGTAGAATGTATTTGAAGCTTTCCTTCCTCTTCTATTTTTTGGAATAGTTGAAGGAGAATACCTATCAAATCTTCCTTGTTTGGTAAATTTATCTATATATCTAGACTTGTATTTGTTGGGAGTTTTTTGATTACCCATTAAATTTCATTGAATTGGTCTGTTCAGATTTTATTTGTTTTCACTTTAGAGAGAGTGTGTGTGCATCAGTGGGGAGAGGGGCAGAGGAAGGGAGAGAATCTTAAGCAGGTTCCACTCTCAGTCCATCATGGGACTTGATCCCACATCCCTGGGATCATGACCTGAGCTGAAATCAAGAAGCAGACACTCAACTCACTGAGCCACACCGGTGCCCCAGTCTGTTTAGATTTTCTATTAATCCCTGATTCAATTTTGGAAGATTGTGTTTTTCCAAGAGTTTATCTATTTCTTCTAGGTTGTTCAGTTTGTTGGCATATAATTTTTCATAGTAGTCTCTTTGGATTTCTGTTTTGTCAGTTGTTACTTCATTCATTTCTGATTTTTTAAATTTGGGTCCTCTCTATTTTTCTTGATAAGTCTGGCTAAAGGTTTATCAATTTTTGTTTATCTATTCAAAGAAACAGCTCTTCGTTTCCTTGTCTTTTCTATTGTTTTTTTATTTTAGTCTGTATTTCATTTATTTCTGTCCTGATCTTTTATTTCCTTCCACTAACCTTGGGTTTTGTTGTTGTTCTCATTCTGTTAGATGTAAGGTTAGATTGTTCAGATATTTCTTGTTTCTTGAGGTAGGCCTGTATCACTGTAAATTTTCCTTTCACTGCTTTTGCTGTGTACCAAAGATTTTGGATGATCATGTTTTCATTTTCATTTGTCTCTGTATTTTTTGATTTCTTTGTTGACACATTGGTTGTTTAGCTCCCACATGTTTGTGGTTTTTTCCAGTTTTTTTCTTGTGATTGATTTCTAGTTTCCTACCATTGTGGTTGGAAAAGATGCATGATATGATTTTAGTCTTCACAAATTTATTGAGACTTATTTTTTTTTAATTCTTTTTAAATGTTTTATTTATTTTTGAGAGAGACAGAGACAATGCAAGTGGGTTAGGGGCAGAGAGAGAGACACACACAGAATCCAGAGCAGGCTCCAGGCTCCCAGCTGTCAGCCCGATGCGGGGCTTGAACTCACACTCCGTGAGATCATGACCCAAGCCGAAGTTGGACGCTCAACAGACTGAGCCACCCAGGCGCCCCGATTGAGACTTCTTTTTTGGCCTAACATGTTTTATCCTGGAGAATCTTCCATGTACGTTTGAAAAGAAGGTATATTCTGTTGTTTTGGGATGGAATGTTCTGTATATATCTGCTAACACTAATTTGTTGTCCAAAGACACTGTTTCTTTATGGATTTTCTGCCTGGATGATTTATCCATCAATATAAGTAGGTGTTAAAGTCTCCTACTGTTATGATAGTACGGTCAAACTTTCTGTTGATATTTGTTAATACTTGTTTTATGTATTTAGGTGCTCCAGTATTGGGTGCAGAGATATTTATAATTGTTATATCCTCTTTTGCATTGATTTCTTTACCATTATGTAATGCCTTCTTTCTCTCTTGTTACATCTTTGTTTTAAAGTCTATTTTGTATTGCTACCTTTGTTTTGTTTTGCTTCCATTTGCATGGAATCTTCTTCCATCCCTTTTCCTTCAGTTTGTATGTATCTTTAGGTCTGAAGTGATAAAATACAGACCCTTCTATATGCTGCCTACAAGAGACTCACTTCATCCTATATTTTTTGATTGTTGCATTTACACCATTTACATTTAAAGTAATTACTGATAGGTATGTGCTTATTTTTATTTTGTTAATTGTTTTCTGGTGATTTATGTAGTTCTTTTCTGTTCCTTTTTTCTTCTCTTGTTCCCTTTCCTTGTCACTGGTAATTTTCTTTAGTGTTATGCTTGGTTTGCTTTCTTTTCAGTTTTTGTGGATCTGTTACAGATTTTTGTGTTTGTGGTTACCAGAAAGTTTCTCCATAGGACCTTAAATATATAGCCATCTATAATTGATGGTCACTTAAGTTCGAACACCTTTTTTTTTTTTTTTTTAATGTTTATTTTTGAGAGAGAGAGCACGCACACGCAGTGGAGGGGCCAAGAGAGAGGGAGACAGTGCATCTGAAGCGGGCTCTGTGCTGACAGCAGAGACCCTGATGTGGGGCTTGAACTCACAAACCATGAGACCATGACCTGGGCTGAAGTCAGATGCTCAACTGACTGAGCTGCCCAGGCACCCCAAGTTGGAACACCTTTTAAAAGCACTTGTTTTTTATTCCCTCATGTTGTGTGTGGCATCATATTTTACATCTTTTTATTCGTAACTATTTCCTAATTATGGCTTTTTCTTTTCTACTTAAAAGAAATTCTTTAACATTTGTTGTAAGTCTGGTGTAGTGGTGATGAACTCCTTTAACTTTTGCTTGTCTGGGAAACTCATTTTATCTCTCCTTCAAATCTGAATGATAATCTGGCTAGGTAGATTATTCTTTTTTTTTTTTTTTTTTTTTTTTTTTTTTTT